GTTCTTCTTATATGTGTATGTCATCACTGTAAGCCTAACTAATTTTTCAGCCTTGTACCATTCTGAATATTTGTTTTTTGTAGGATATAAGTTATCTCGTGTTAGTCATACCCCAGGACCAATTTGACTAATTCTAACATTAGATAATATTACCAATGGATTCAGTACATTAAATGGGTGTGCTTATCCAATAAGAAAATGAAAGGCAACTTGCTAACATGTTGACTCCATACAAGAAAACCACCTTAAGTACAATAAAGAACTGAGAATAATTGAGATGATTTCATTAGTATTATTATCAGTACAAACCATAAAGACCAAACATCCCTCCTATTGCACAGACATCATCTTAATCCCTTCACAGAACATTGATAAGTTACAGCCAAGTACAAAAGCCAAGAAAGGTGTGGCAGTAGTTCCCATTAGAACCTCTTAAAACTATAACATATTATCTGTTGTAGGGATTCATCAAAATCATCCATTACTCTAAAATTTCTGAGCTTCTACCTTTGACCTGTAACATACTGTCTCACCTTTTATAGGCATGCAGTTGTACAAGCTTGCTGTGATGCCTAAGAGAGTTTGGTGTTATGTGAAGGTGTACACAAATATCTATTCAAAAGGCAACCGTCAACCGTTGAAGCAATATAGCACATGATGACTTCATCTTTTTCTAACAAACTAATGACTGCTAAGCAATGTGCAGTTGAATGATCAAATTAGCTTTCCCAAACCATGATGACAAGCAGCAGCAAAGATTTTCCAACCCCCTATCCTGTTAAGCAAATACAGTAACAATTATCACTATCAAGTTCTATTATATGCATTAATCTAAAAGTGTGTTTCCATGTGTCTGCGTGAGAGAGAGAGAGAAAGTAACAGAAGATTCTAAACATATAGTGCTTACTTTAGGTTCGTGAAACAAAGATCCAACAGAAGATCATAGCAAAAGGAGGGTGAGCCAACACCAGGGGTTTGCAAAATCTTGCCATTGATGAACAGTAACTATTGTGTACTTATCAAACAGGAGCCCAAGAAGATAGTGCATTAACAATTCGGCCCTTCCAACCTTGGAGCAACCAATTATTATCTTTATCAATTACAAAGTCCTTGTGGTAGCTTGTATTCACTCTCTCTTTAGATTTCTTCATGATCTCCTCATCCAATGGCAGCTGCCTAAACCCTGCCCTCAAATTCCGTACGTGCCATTGTTTGTATGTCTCTGGCCTCTCAATTCTTTCTAAGCCCTCACTCGCAATGACATTTATTGCTGTCTGTCCAAAAAACTCTCTTTCAATCAGAATGCGGTCTTCATTTTCACGAGGAACAGTAGTCTCAAGCATATCAAATAAAGTAGAATAGTGGAAAAGAGCCTCCCTGAATCTTGTGATGAAGAATGGAGCACTACATGCTCCATTAACAATTCCCTGTATGAAAACATCAGGGTTCATCTTCCTGATCAAGTTCAGAACTTTATTCCTCGGACAGTCCACCACCACGGTCTCATCGAGTAGGTTTCTAAGCCTGAACATAGAGTTAACAACAAGCACCTCATCACGATCAATATTTAAATCCTCAAGTCGAATGGTGTCCCACATCTGTGCTATTGCTTTGAACTCAAATGGAACTTTGAAAGTCTCTGCATAGTTTGCAAGACGACATCCTGTCTCCTCAACCCTTTGTGCTGGACGGAAACCGGGTTGTGGAAGATCAATCCCAGTAATCCGAAGCTTAGGGGGTCCACCAGGCAGAGATGAGAGACGGCGTATGAGACAGGGCCATTGGAAACCATATAGAACACCAAAATCAACAATGTGGAGCCGTGCAGCATTTTGAGCCAGATTCATAATTGTCCTATTGCAGAAAAAGTTTGAAAGCTTCCTAAATGGACAAGCAGCGAGAAGCAGATGGTATGCTTTCAAAACATCAGCAGCTGATGTGGGCCTAGTGAGAAGGGCAGTGTATGTCTCAGTTCCAGACCCAGCCAAGCGTGCCTCTAGGCCATTAGCAAAATAGTGTGCCATCCTCTGCATTCCATCCCCTATAGGTGAAGAATGCTGTCTGATTTGCTTCAGCAAGTTGTTAGCACTCCTCCAGTCATCAGCTGCAACAGCTTGTGCACAGAGTGTAAGGAGGGTTCTCAAATCAACTACATCCCTTTTACCACACTGCTTCTTCCCATTGGCCTTTCTACCACTTGACCTTTTTAACGATCCATTTTGCTGCACATTATTACGTGTGCTATTCTGCAAAGCTTCACGAAACTTTTTTTGACTGTTACAGTCCAGTACAATCGTATAATACATTTCTGGACTTACGGTTGATTCAGTTAAAATTGCAGACTGCTTGTTTATCCTCCCACCCTCTTCGTAGACACCACCAGGATCAGGATTCCTCTTTCCTCTTGATCTATCTGTTGAACAGTCATTCTTGGCCACCATATCTGGAGCGTCCTTAGTCTCTTCTTTTGGCTCTGTAAGAAATAATCCATATCTCTCCAAATCAACAAACTGACCACTGGCATTTGGGATGAACTTGCTTGCTTCCTCGAACCCTTTTCTGAATTGCACAACAGACTCATTATCACTAAATATTTCAGGAAGCATAAGAGTGCTGTCTGGAGAATCAACAAACCCATCTACCACACTACTTGAACCGGTGGTGCCTGAGCTATATGATGACTGTGAAACAGACTGAGAAGTGGAGGGATTGTGTTCACCCAGATCACACTTCCATCCAGGATACACTAAGTTGGAGCTGCTAGTACTCATAATGCCACCGTTACATCTCCAACAACTTTGATCATGATTTTCATATAATTTCTCTTGGCTCAGATCAATACAAGGATTCAGGTCATATTTGGGTGAAGGAGGATACTTCTCCCCTAGAAGCTCATACAATGATTTCTCTGCAGCTTGAAGAGCTGCTGAGGACTCTTGAAACATGCATGTCTTTTCTTCCATATCTTCTTCCATAAGCATCTGGCTTATATACTTGAGAACCTCATCACTAAAATCATATTCATCATGCAAATCTCCATCTTGGTTCACAATTGACGAAGGGGCCAAATCGTTAGGAAATGGCTCAGGTGGCAAATTGCATTCATTGACAGGTCTATGGAATCCCCATTTATCCATGTTCGTCTATTAGGAATTCAAAAATGAAAATTATAAGAACAATCAAAACCAAATACCCAAAATCCAAACTTGCAACTCCCCAAAACAATAACCCAAATTAACACCTAAAAATCCTCATTTGCGGTTTACCAATTATAGAGACCAAAACCCAAATGAAGTCAAACTGAAGCCTAATCCTGCTTGTATCTTATGTGGAATCCTTTTAAGGCATAATAGAAACACCACCACAATCTACTTGCCTCAATTCTTTTCCACTTCAAAACCCAAGTTACCCAAATTATACAAGCCAAAGCAACCAAAAGCAAAAAACACATCTCTAAGTTCCAAACAGAGACCCAAATAGCATGACTCACTAAATAAAAACGAGATCTTTGAAAAGTGTAAAACGCTGATAAAATCATGTTCCTCTAGCAATGATCAAGGAAAATGAAAGAGACGGCAATTGCAACAAACGCACATGTAATCATCCTTATTAAGACAACATAACAATCAAACTGAGCCAATACCTTAAAACCCAGTTTCAGAAAACAGTGAAAAGGGCAGTTATGGAGGTTGAAGATAGTGTACCTGAGATAATCTCCAGAGAGAGCAACAACAATCTATCAGCTTCTTAGTTCTTACACCTGAAAAAGGCATCTAGAATGGTGAATTGCATATATGTTAAAAAGGACCATGGCGGGTGTTTCAGTTAATCTTGCCCGTTCAAAATTTCGGCAAGTGCTAAGGACCGTTGATTCTTCAACATTTTTAAGGTTGCGGTTTTTTTAATTCGCTTTTTTCCCCCTCTTTCTTGGTTTTTTTTTTTTTTTTTT